CCATTGCCTTTTTCAGAGAATCATCTATCTCCTTTACTCCCATTTCCCCAAGGCTTAAAACACTGCTAGACATCCCATGGCCCCAATTCCAAAACTTACAGCTCTAATCATTAGACTCTTTGTCCAACTGGTTTTTCTAAGCACTGAATCTGATACTTTTGAATCTAACACTTTTTTTTTTAATACCGGGAATTAAAGTCAGGACCTTGCGCTTTCCAGGCCGGAGTGGCACCACTGAGCCTAAATCCCCAGCCCCTAATCTGATACATTTTATACACCACTAAAAAAATGAAACTCTTCCAGTTAAAGTATGGTATACTATCTCTTGAAATACGCATTCTAATTTCAGAACAGACAAAAGTGAGGAGATGTGTATTACAGTAGTCTACCTACCAGGCACTTTAGACAGAATCACCCATTTCCTAATGTGCCAAAGAGTAGTCACCTATGCCGTAATATCCAAGAGGAAAAGGAAAACATATCTTATGTTTGGAAAATGATGTCTGTTTTTATTATAAAGACTTCCCCAAAATAGTGTGCTGGGATTTTTTAATTTAAGTCAGCATCTAAAAGCTTAACACTGCAAAACAGAGCATGCAGATGTTTTACTTAATTCAAGCTCAAATCTGAAGGGGTTCTACCCTGTAAATGAGTTTCTAAGAGCCTCCTGATGAATCTATATTCCAAGGAAATTTTCTTATTGCAAAGCTTATGAAATTTTAATACAGAAAGAAATTGTGGGGATGTACATATAAAGAAATGTAGGTTTCGCTTCAGTAATTTAGAGCAGGTCTAAGATTTGCATTTCTCATAAGCTGCCAAGTGACACTACTGGTACACTGGCTGTGTAAAGGAATCTGTCTTGTGACTTACAAAGACTTTTCATATGGCTTTTGTAGTCATATTTATCTCCAATTTGCAGATAAGGAAATTAAGGTCCAATCTGAGACTAAGAACCCTGGCTTCTCCCCGTATTATACTGTTTAAATTTTTTTCCCTTAAATCAATTAAAATAGTACTGGTTACCTAAAATAAATGCAGTGAAGCCTAGAAGAGCAAATTTTGTGACCTAAATAAACTGCTATGTACATATCCTCCAGGTCAAAAGCCACTACTCTCTATAGAACACACATAAATATCTTCACAAGATATTTCTTCTAAAAATTTTATTTTTTGCAAAGTTTGAAGAGTCTAAACCCTAATCACTTTTTTGGGTGGGTGTGGAGGTTAACCAGGGATCGAACTCCCGACCTTGCACTTGTGAGGCAGGGGGTGGCACCACTGAGCTAAATCCCCAGCCCCTCCTAATCACTAAAGTAGTATTCTTTACAGAACAAGGCAGAAAGTATGACCCACTATCCTGACCAGCAAGGCTCCAGTCTATCTGAAGAATATAGCTGTTATTATTCCAGAAGATCAGCAACTGCAGAGTCTATACATGCAGGCATAGGCCTGAAAAATACACAACTGCAACTGATTTTGAAAGCAAGAATAAATAAAATGAAGGATACAAAAAGATAAGAGAAGTTAAAGTCCTGATTCCTATTATACCGAAAAACACTACCCTTAAGGTTAGGATTCATATGTGGAATGCTACCAAGAATTTACTTCAAGTACTAAGAATAAAGTATTGTTGTCATTTTCTTCTTGTCAGCCTGCAAGTATTCTTACAACAGAAACCACGACTACTAAATTGTTTACCAATCAAAATGAACTCAATCAAGAGAGCTCAGAATCCCAGCACTCTGGGAGGCTGAACTCAATCTAGAGAGCTCAGGGTCCTAGCACTCTGGGAGGCTAAGTCAGGAGGGATGAAAGTTTGAGCCTAACCTGGGTATAATCAACTTAGTGAGCGCTTGTCCCAAAATAAAAAATAAAAATAAAAGAAGGTGGTCCTGACAGAGCTAAATACTGTTAACCACAAAATCTCCCTGAAGATGGAAAACTACTGCAGAATGAGATTACTATAGTTACGAACCACTTTTACCTGAAAAGTTAAAGTCTGGATTACCTGCTGTCATGCCTGAGAATGACTTCTTAGTACTTACTTTGAGATGTATAATCATTATGTCATCAGGGATTTTTTCAGCTCTCAAGTAATTAAATTATAACTTCTCTGTGACCTACTGGAAGTCATATTGCTATAGTCACCCAAAAAGTAAAACAACTGCCACATGTAGTGGTACATGCTTATAATCTCAGCACTTGAGAGGCTGAGGCAGGAGGATCATTGCGAATCTGAGGCCAGCCTGGGCTACATGGAGAGGTCAAGGCCAGCCTAAACTACATAGAGACCCTGTCTCCAAAAAAAAAGAAAAGGAAAAAAAAAATTAGAGGCTCTAACCCCTAAACTACCAAGTACCACCTTTTATAACAATTATCTACAATATGATATCCTACTGCCCTTGTTCTCTGAACTCAACATTTCAAAAGACAAGTTATTTTTAAAAAGAAAAGGTTCACCTTTGTAAAGAAGATGTATGTACATCTTAACTGAAAAGTGATTCAGATTTCTACGAACATAGCTTTAGTCAGGTATTATCTCAACCAAAAGGCAAAGCAAAGCTAGGTTAGGTATAAGATCAACAGGATCCAACCCCAAAGTTCATGAGCCCCTCTAGATGGCACATGCCAATATGGTGGCTCGATGTTACTGACCAGTCTTCCTGTCACTCTGTAGATGCAACTCAAGCCAAAATACAGAAAAATATTTTGTTGCCTAATCTTCCTTCTGACAAGGTGGAACACAGATTTAGGGAGTTTTCATTAATTTGTATGCATATCAGAAGCTTAGTAAATTATTCAATTGTTATAGTCCACTCTTCTGATCTCCTCTATCCTGAGGTCTAATCTCCTCTGGTCACTATAATATAAAATCTAAAAATCGCCAATCTTCCAAGACAACTAAAGATGAAACCCACCTTTACAAAAAAAAAAAAAAAAAAAAA